ATGCCAGGCAAGTGTGCTACCGCGGAGCCGTAGCCACAGCCCCCAAACTCATACTCTTGAAGGGGGGGGGGGGGAATGTGCTTTTTGTCTTATGTTTTATTGTATACTTGTCTTCCCTTGCTGGGTTCTAAGATTCTTGAGAGCAGAGATTATGGCTTTTCTTTTTTAAGGGTTTACATGTTACTCTACTGCGTTGTTTGCTTATTGAATATTTGGTGAATGAACACATGAGTGAATAGTCTGTGATTTTTTTGTTTTAGAAAACAATAGAACTATAAGCAATGGTTTGTTGTTGTTGCTGTTATTGTTGTTTTGGAGTACTGGGGGATCGAACCCTGTACTGGGTGATTTTACCACTGAAATACATCTGTAGCCCTATTTGTTTGTTTGTTTGTTTGAGGTGGGGTCTTACTAAGTTGTTTAAGGCCTTGCTAAGTTGCTGAGGCTGCCCTCAGACTTGTGACTCTCCTACTTCAGCKACCCAAGCCACTGGGATTATAGGTACGTACCACTGCAACAGACTCTAAGCACTGTTTTTAAAAGATAACAGTGCTGTCTATAGAACAAGCCTAAACTATTTTCAGCCTCTGAAAAGATATAGTTTCTTATCATTTGTAGTCTATTAACTTACCAAAAGAATTTGTTTTTGCAGCATTGGGCCTGACAGGTGCATATCCATGCCCTTTTGACCACCAGGACTTAACATTTATTTTGAACTTACTAGTATAAAAGTGACCTTAATACTTGAACATGAAGTTAGAGGATGTGGACCATTATAGTTTTGCAGAATAAAAGATATTAGAAGGAAAGAAACTATTTCTTGAGCAAGTATGCTTTCACATGGGCTCTCATTTGGTGAGAATCTGTAAGTCAAGTACATCTCATATTTACTAAATGTTGAAATCAAGGATTAAGTCARGGGAAATGCTTAAAATCACAGTGATTAACCATAAATGTCAGGCCTTGATCCCAAGTTTGTCCAATTCTAAAACCCCTGGTCTTTTCATATTCCTTTTTTTCTTTTTTTTGGTGTTGGGGGTAGTTGGTAGGCTACCCTTCCAATTTTTAAACCTAAGAAGTAATTTATGATCTTTACATTTTGTGACTAGAAAAAAAAATTTACTTAACTAAGTGAAAATAGGGTTCCACATAATTTCATTTTAGAAGTCTAATATTAAACCTTTTAAATTCTTGCCTCCAATATAGATTTCTTTTGCAATTTAAAATCAGTTTCACAAGTAAAGTCTCAAATGAAGTAAAAGTCTATTATTAAACATACCTTGTCATCCTGAACCTTAAAACTCCTTCAGGGTAAATTCTTTTTATATGTTCCTGTTCCCACAGTACCTAGCCCTTACTTAACTAAATATTTATGAAATTSTATGGAACAAATAAAATATCGATTGATTAACATGAACAATTTTATTTCCTTGAAAATGGGAATAATAAAATAAACAGTTCTCCTGCTTTGTGGCCCCCTTGTCCATTCCATTCTGGTTTTCAGCTAGGTATTCTTGTTCTGATTTACTAACACCCCTGCTAGCACACGCACAATATGTTCTTCTGTACATGCATTTGAAAAAAGAATCCAAGGAGGGAGTTGAGGGGTTATAACAATAAGTTATATTGTGATGCCTCTRAGGAGTTTATCCATATAAATGAAATGGTTTTATCATTTTACTATTACTGGTTGATTATCACAAAATTTAAAAGACCTCTTTGGTTTAAATATACAGATTGTTTACTACATATGAAATTAATTTTGACTCTGGAGGGGAACACATTAAAGCTCTCCAGAGAATTTAAAACTAGGTCATAAAGAGAGGCCCATGTAATTGCTAATCTGTAGAAATCCAGTAAATAAATATAAAGCTCCAGGATAAGAGAAAACAATATTTTCTTATAAAATGCATATTGACAGTCACAGGGGCAGACACATTAGGTAAGTGTTGATCTGCAATTATTTCCTTTTCATGTGAGTAGATCTATATAATATGCTCTGATTTAGAAATCTGCTAATTTAAATATGGTTAATTTCTCTGGAACAGCTAGTGRCAGAACATATATTGGTGCTGCTATTTGATAGGACAACCACTGTAGTGTTTATTTGTTCCTGCTATCCAAGAATTCTATGGGCTTTAGTCTTGGGGTAGGAAGCTTATTGTTTAATGTATTTAATTTTAARAATTAAAAAAATCAGGTGTGTGGGAGGGTTGTTAATTTCTTTGGGAATCCCAGTAGTGGTGAGAACTATATAAATCCCCAGGGTTGGTAGGAAATAGAGGTCTGTAATAGACCAGTTTTTCTCTCTATTACAGACCAGTGTTAGACCCAAACTGGTCTAGCTGCAGACATAGACATTACATAGGTTGATGTTACAAAGACAAGACAAAATTGAACTTGGCATATTGTAGGAGCATGTGGAACACCTCTAGTTTGGTGATCATTTCAGAGTCTATGAAATGGAAGCTGAATGTTCCCAATTGTAAGAGCACTGTTGATCACTGATTGAGGACTTTAGACTTGAATTTGTTTGGAAGGAAAGATTGCTTCATCTTTTATTTAGGAGACTCCATCAATAATGTTTACAGCTGGTCTCAAATATATAGTATAAGTTTTAAAGACATCTTTGACCACTTGATTTTTTTATCACTTAGCCTTTAATAAATAAATTTAAATGACTTACTAGTCATTTATATGAGTTAAATAGAGATGGTATATAACTGTCCATGACAGTTTCCTGAAGGGATTAATTAAAACGAAATTTTGTAGATGTAACCCTTGTGAGTTGTTAGTTGAAGAGATAAGAAGCTGTGGAATTGTAGCCGCAAGATCATTCAATTAGTTTAAGAYTTACTTAGGTGAGGCTAACCACAGGATATCAGAAAAGTTTGGCTAGAGAGGATAGCATAAACTAAGAATAGCCTGATAGCTGGGTGTGACAGTGTACACCTATAGTCCCAGCTGCTTAGAAGACTGAGGCATGAGTTGTTTGAGGTCAGCCTAGGCAACACTGTAAGACCCTAYCTCTACTGAATAGAAAAGAAAAGGGAGAAAAAAAAAACAGCACATGAGACTAGACAAGTAATATGGTGATATTGGAAAGTAGAATTAAACAGCTTTAAATTCCTGATACAGATCCATCCATAAGTTCACCTGCCTTACTAAGGTTTCTTATCCCTTTTCTTCATGCGCACTCTCTTTCTCCACTCTGTGGATAAATACAAATACAGAAAGAAAGATTAGAGGAGGCAACATTAAAGTGGCAAAACAAAACAAAAGAAAGAAAACCAAATCAAGAGTGAGGAAATCTGATTGTGGTATTAGCAGTCTGACTTAACAAGTTGCTTAAGATCCGGCAGATTAAATTTTGATTCATTAGGAATTTAATCACCTAAAAGACAGCTTTTGTTTTGGTTTTTATGCCACTAATCTTTGGAAAACCTACAAATTGAGTTTCAAAATATAAATGGTCTCTTTTCTACAACCACATCCATGATTTTTTTTAACAAATCCAGATAAAAATCACATTATAGAAACTTAGAACATTCATACTGTTTTCTTGAGTGTAGCTGTGTTATAATGATAGGCATTCTAGCAAATTTTATTCTGTGGGCTGGGTTTATGGCTCAGTGGTAGAGCTCTTGCCTAGCATGTATGAAGCACTGGGTTCAATTCTCAGCACCACATTTAAAAAAAATAAAGATACTGTGTCCATCTACAATTAATTTTTTTTAATTCAAGAACTGGAAGTAAAGCTTTTTAAAAAATATTTATTTTTTAATGTAAATATTAGTTTATATAATAAACTTATTGTAGTTGGACACAATACCTTTATTTATTTTTATGTAGTGCTGAGGATTGAATCCAGGGTCTCACACATGCTAGGAGAGCCCTCTATTGCTGAGCCACAACCTCAGCCCCTGGAAGTAAAGCCTTTAAAACTAGTGTGTTGATTTACTATATTGTTGAATATGAGGGGAATGTACAAGTGACAAGAAGTGATAGGATTCAGAAAGAAGGTTAAGAATACCTTGGCTCCATTCTTCAGACTTATCAATCTATATGCATTTCCGTTGATGGGGCTCAGAAATATTTATCTGAAAAGAAAGAAAAAAGCTGGATTTGGACATCACAGACATTATTCTACTCATGAATACCTCTAAGTGCTATTTATAATTTTAGGAATGTTAGGAAAGCTGAGGTAGCCTTTGGCAATGAATTGGTAAATCTGCTTAATTCCAAAACAGTAGAGCCATTAARTTATATAATTAGAGGTAATATTAGAGATTGTCTAACATTCCTTTATATATCATCTGACGCTGTTTTTGTGCTACAGTGGAAGAGTTAATGAACTCTGTTGAAGTAGAGTCTGTATGGCCTACAAAGCCTAAAATATTTTCTCTGGCCTTTTAAAAAGCTTTGTGAGCTGAGCATGGTGACACATACCTGTAATCTCAGTGACTCAAGAGGCTGAGGCAGGAGGATTGCAAAGTTTGATGCCAGACTCAGCAACTTAGGCTATAAGAAACTTAGACCCTGTGGGGGAGGAGGAGATACTTAGTTCAGTGGTAAAGTACCCTGGGGTTCAGTCCGCAGTATGGGGGGGGGTGACTTTTTAGTAGCTCAAACGTGTCATTTTATAGAAATAGAAATAAGGSTCAGATGTTTTGATTACATGGCTAACTGGTGGTTATGGTACAAATGTAGTTTWGATTTTTTCAGTGCCTCTATTTTGTTGTTTGAAGGGGCTGATACCTGAGTGAGATCAGAAAATTTTTGGTATATAATTTTGTTTATAATTCATTATAGTTATATGACTGTTTTTAGGGACAGTGGTCTATCAAGTCTTCARTAATGTTGCTATATAAAGCAACCTTGTTAATTTAGGTAGGGGACCATATTTTGATTGTAGTATTCATTGATAACATTGTTTCCTAAGTCTTAGGTTTAATCTGCCAACCAGTTTGATACATGATGTTTTCTTGTTGCCTATGCAGCCAAATGGTCGAACAGTGGAAGTGGCTGAGGATGAAATTGTACGAACTCCTAGAAATGTAACAACAAAGCAGCAACCAGAGACAGACAAGAAAAATGAAAAGGTAAGTTTGGGAGCGAATGAAATTAGATGTAAGGTTTTAATAAAGACAGTTACATGAAAATGATGCTTTCCTGTTTCACAAGATTTTATGTGTATCTTCAATTTAAGGAAACTCTGTAAATCTGAATTAATCATAGTGGATGGATGGTGAAAGTTTGTTGGGTTATTTTATCATTATTATTTTTTTGTTTGTTTTTTTAAAGAGAAGATGTGTCACTAAATATTTTAAATATTGCCGGTATTAGTAAATATTCATTACATCAAACTTAATTTATACAATTCATGACTTGAACACCTTTTGTATGAGTAAGATCCATATTTATATATTATCCCTTATTCAAAAATAGAGTTGTGTTTCCTTTGTTGATAGTGTACTTGTAAATACTTAGGAGACTTGTCCAGTGGTATTAAGTGTTAAAATAGATTTCTGTCATGGTGGAAACCTAATTGTCTCCTTTATTAGACAGTTTGGTTTTATTTAACCAAGTGTTCATTGCTTAGGAAAATAAGTTATTAAAAGGTTTGGATGAACACATTGTTTCGGATGTTTTCCAAAATAGAAATGTAATACCCCATAAATGTTACCTSCCTGAAATCTTATTTTTCAGTTGCTGGTTTTAGAACTGGCCCAAATTTACTTATCTGGTTTGGAATTCGGCAAAATAAACAAGAAGCTCTTAACATTGTTCCTTCTGCTGTGAGGGAGACTTGTTGAATTTCTTTTTGTACATTGAATGGCCACTACTCCACCCACCTGTCTTTTTTAACCATGCATTACCCATTTGGGGGAGTGGTGACAACTGCAGAGAGGTAAGTGGTTTTAAGAAGCTAGCTAGCATGCTCCAGCCCCATGGAATAGTAGTACAAAATTGTTCCTATAGTTCCTTAATGCTTGCAGTTTCAGAATGTCTTTGAAGAATTGGTGAGATCAGTTCTCCCACTGTAACCCAGTGAAATTGGTATAGAGCCAAGATAGCTGTAGGTGGAATGGCTTGAAATAAAAGGATGGTTATGGGAAATAATTAAATTTATGTCTGACTTTGCTTTGGGCAGAAAAATGAATAATAAATTACTTGCTTTAACAAATAAAAGTATAACAACAGATTGTGTGTTTACAGAGTAAATAGTTCATGTGCCTAGTATAGATGTACATCCCCCCATTATTTTCTTGTTCTTAGGCTTTCTATTAGTAAGTATTTCTATTTAATTCTGTTTCTCCTCCCTGATTTGTCCTGAAAATTTTATAATTGGAATAATTAATAAGCTATCATTAATCTCTGATTAATTATATACCAATTAGATGTAACAGGATGTAAAATTCATTTCAAAGTTTATAATTATCATTCTGAAATTTATGTTAGGAAGTAATTATAATAGTGGACATTTATAAAGTGTAATACAGCCAGAATTATGCAAGGTGAGATGTGTATATATGTATGAATATATTTACCTATATATCTCGTGAGGACAATTTATTGAGCACTTAGTAGATGCACTTTTGAGACTTTATAGACATTTTTTAAATGATTTATATTCATTATTTATTCTCACAACAACACTGAAGAGATGGATTCAAACCTATTTTACAAATGAGAAACCTGAGACTTAATTACCTAAACTATGAAAGGTGATCAGTTCTAACCCAGGCCCATCTTAAGTTCAATGTCTGTATTTCTACTGTCCTATCTAATCCTCATAAAAACTTCCAGACAGATAGTAACAGTGCCATTTACAGATAAGGACTTCAAAGCCTTATCACCTTTGTATTTTCATACAATTTTTGTACTAGGATTTGAACTCAGCTTGTTCTAATGCCAAAACTTGTCCTTTGTATCACCTAAAAGTACTGCCTTTTAGTTGCTGTTATTTAGATTTATTACCATTCCTTATAAAGAAACATTTTAGGTTTACTTATACACTTTAATATATATATTACCATATCTTCATTTTCCTCTAAGAGCCACATCTTGGGCACTTTGAAAAGTAA